AATGTATATAATCTGTAAAATGTTAGACAACAAAAATAGAAAACATTGTAAATGCACAATAAAAGGAAACAATCTTGCCAAGAAGAAATAAAATGGGTCTGAAAAAGCAAATTAAATAATCAAACGTCGCCATGTTGGAAGATACCAAATATTAAGTAATATTTATCATATATTTAGGTAGTGTTGCGAATATTTAGTTCTATTTAGTTTTTCATTTACATTTTAAGTTAGATTTAGAACACATAGAAATGTATTTAAAGGTATTTTGTCGCTCAAATAGGATTTTCTGCAGCCCCGTCCTTCACCTCCCTGTGGTTCGGTCCAAGCCGGGAACAGCATGAGTGTCATGGCGCTGCTGGCGAGAGTAGCTGCTAAAAGCTGTCGGTCGACGCTGTCCGGGTTCTCTAAAGGGTTGTTCTGTGGTGTTTTACAGCCAGGCTGGCTTCAAAGTTGCATTGGAGGTAAGAGGGCAGGGAGGGGAAATGACATTAAGTGTTTTATCAGAAAATTAAATCCCCTTCAGAGACAAGAATCTGCACTTGGGAGAGTCATTATACAGAGCCAGAGAGTTTGTTGATGAAACAACCTTTAACCAGTGCTGGTATTTCTGACTTTGGCGTAGTTATGCTAAAAAGTACTCTATAGCATGTAAAAGTACCCAATTAGGAGTACAGACTACAAATAATGTTGACCAGAGTTTGGATAAAATCGAGAGACAGCAGGCTGACGCACTGCGCTGGGCCCTGCTGCAGATCAGGTGCAGTTATAGTTGTTTTGTGGGGACCTCTGAGGTCAGCAGTGTTGTTTCAGGTTCACTGTAATAATTTGGGGCGTAAAACTTTAGAAATTGTAACATCTTTATAGTAACTAGTTAAATACAGTATGTGCAGTCTAACCAGCAAAGCAGCTGTGAGATGTGCTTATACTTTTGGTGTAAGAATCGTGTATTTAAGATATATTTGGGATTTATTTGTGCAGGATTTGCATCTCAGATTTATTTGCAGACCTCAGTCAAAACAGCTGCCAAAACAGATGAATTCACTACAAAAAGAACAGTAACATTTAGGGCTGTGTATTGGCAAGAATGTGGCGATACGATACATATCATAACAGAGGGGTCACGATACGATATATCCCGATATATTACGATACTGTCAGCAAGGCAATATATTGCGATATATTGTGATTTTTTTCCCCCAAAAATTCTATTAAATAAAAACCTCTTACTGATAAAACAAAAGAAAAGTTAATGTTTACTTAGAATACTGTACTAATGCTACCCTTACTCTCTGGCACTCAAGAGGTAGAGGAGCCAAATGGCTGGCTCACTGCTGCCAACTAGTGGTCAGAGGCTGAACTATAACACAAAAATCAACGGTTGGCAAGAAGGTTGACATTTTAAACCTTAATTAAAAATCGATACAGGGCTTTAGAATATTGATACAGTATTGGGAAATGAAATATCGCGATATTTCAGTGTATCGATATTTTCTTACACCCCTAGTAACATTAAATGATATGAAAACAAAGCTCGCATTTGCAGCATTTTGAGTTGAATTTTATATTGAAGGTTGGCCTTTAACAGGGATTTTTATATATAGTTTGGGTTGTATATTTTGTCTAAAACAACCAGATTTCATGCAGATACTCTTGATTTATGTCTGTTATTCCTCAATCATATGCATTGCACAATGACTGCAGAGGTAAGCTGTGCTCCCTGCAGACACTGTGCTAACCTCACGTTTTTGACCCCAGTGCCCTAGGTTATTAAAGGTACATGAAGTGAAGCATTGACTGTGTTATTGGTGAAATTTTTTTTTTTTTTTTTTTTTTTTTTTTTTTTTTTTTTTGCTGTATGGTGTTAATGCAGAGGTGTGATGGCTGCATTGTCTGAATAAACACATCCATACATTGTAGTTTCTACATGTGACCACTAGATGGCAGACACGTGTTTTATGTTTTTAATCGTATCCCAACATTTCTGTATGTTTTGATATGAAACGTTTGAGTAAGAGAATGAATTAAAAAGGGGGCTGAATAGTGGTGGTCTTCAGCTGCACAGATTAGTTTCGGTGCGTTTTGGCTCGATTGAGAAAAACTTTCTCGAATTTTCCCAAAATGTCTTTGCTTAACTTTCCATTGAACGTTTCTGAAAGGTTTTCAGAAACTGAGCCATTTGCAACCCCAGCTATAATAATGTCAATTTCACAGATATTAAGTTAAAACGGGGTGTGTGGTAGTAACTCATACTTTGACAGCTACTAATTGTCTGATGTCTTTGCCTAAAACCTAGCATTAACTGCTGAAGTTAGTCCTGTCTGTTAGCAAAATATTTAAAGTGTATCTTACCCCCACTGTGAAAAGATAACTCCGCCCCAAGGCAAAATTTGAAAAATGCATCAAAGTGGGTAGGGGAGGGGGTGTGGGTAGGGGAGGAGGGGTTAGAGAGCGGAGGTGTGGCCAGGACGAGAGAACGTGACAGCTACCATTAGCATAATTGATGCTACATGGAGAGTGACCACAGC